TTATGTATAGTGTTCTATATGGCTAGAAGAGTGGCTGAGAGGTTGAGTTGAAGGGACCATTTTGTTAAAGTGAAAACAGAGCAAACAAACACATTTTACACAGTTGCTCAGGTGCTATCTTTAATGGTAAATAAAGGAGATGAAGATAGTATACTGCTTAAGAAATTATGTTTTGGTTATAAGTCTAGAATTCAGGTAAGGTTTCTGCTGATTTGCCTTTTTTTTGGTACTTTTATTATTGTCAGACTGAGGACTCTCATGAATACAGTCTCTAATGGAAGACACGTTTTATGCACTGTTTCTTTTTTTTTTTTTCTTATTTTTTTATTGCATTTTAGGTTTTGGGGTACATGTGCAGAGGATGCAATACAGTTGCATAGGTACACACATGGCAGTGTGGTCTGTTTGCTTTCACCCCCTCACCCACATTTGGCGTTTCTCCCCTCTTGTGTGTAGAATATGTGTGCATTCATTGTGCATGCAGTCTGCATTTCCCCATTTGATTCTCACACCAGCCCTGTATACAGGTCTTAGTTCAAAAAATTATGAGACTTGCTCCAGTTTCTTCCTAACCAGAGGGTAATTTTTGTGTGGTCGAGGGCCATCTTATGTCTCTAGGAGCCAGAAAAGAAATGAACTGAAGAATTTATGACAGAGCCGCAGAAAAAAACCTCAAAAACTTTCCTCAGTTCTGTGCTTTTTAAAAAGAATATAATAGCAATTCATTTCTTTTAGATCAAGCAAGTCAGCTGGGACTACATCCAAAAGAATATATTAGGTCGGTGCAAAGGTAATTGCGGTTTTTGCCACAATTACATTAAAAGTAATGGCAAAAACCACAATTACTTTTGCACCGACCTAATATCTGGTGCTAGACACATTACTAGAACCCTATGGTGCTAAGGGGAGGGTTTAGCATGGTATTTCAGAAATTCAGAAATTGCTGGGTTCATGCAGAAGAATAAAGACTCAAGTCCACAAATCAAGGGCTAGCAAAGGATGAGGCCAGAAATAGGGTCAATAGATTCATTGTGTGTGACACCACTGACATGTGCTCTTCCTTTGAAGGGTTTCAGCCTCAATTACTTTTATTCTCAGGTTTTTGTGGTCCATCTAATTGTCCTGACCCTACAGGCAGGGATTTGGACAACGTAAGTTCATTTCAAATCGTTAAAATATCTCAGAGTCATTTCAGGAGAGACCCATCTTTGTCAACGTTTATGTCTTTAGTTAATGGGATGGGTCCTTTGATGGAACTTGAGGTTCAATAATGGGAAAAATATCCACGGTGATCCAGGTAAACTGTATTCTAAGGGTGGTAGGGCAGACTAGGGTAGAAGCCTTTTCTTGGGAAGAGTTTTCTTTCTCCAGGGAGAAGGTCAATTAACTAGGTTTAAGGACTCTAATTTAATACTTAGAGGACCCTGCTTCTTAGAGCCATGGAATGAGGCAAAGCACGAAACCAGTGCACGAAGCCTGTGCAAGGTTCATCATAAGGTGTTGACAATATTGGATATTATTATAGCCTGAGACGCAGAAAAGAATACATTATGAATTGGCTCAATCTCTTCTTTTTACATATTACAGAGAAAAAAGTAAGAGAACCACAAATTCATATTTTATTGTTAGCTGTGATTGAGACACAGCCCTGTGCAGAGAGCTTGAACAGGTTTGGCTGGAGCACTTCCCTCAAACTACGGTATAACTCAGGAGCTGCAACTGAGGGGCAGTTCTACATGCTTGTTAGCATAAGAACAAACATCAACAGAGGAAAAGTGACTCATCTACATGACAAGCTGACCTCAACTGGCCAGCTAGTTTCAGGGCCGTTACTGCTACTTAGAAGAAGTCCAACTGACCGGTTTTTATTTTATGTTCCATGCCTTTTATGTCCTCAATAAAAATCTTCAAGGTCTCAAAGCTCTTCTCCTATATTTTCATCTAGAAGGTTATGGTTTTAGTTTTTATGTTTTGTCCTATGATTTATTTCAAGTTAATTTTTATGGAGAATGTAAGTTAAGGGTTGAAGTTCATTTTTTTTCCCATACAGATATCCAGTCATTCCTGCTCAATTGGTTGAAGACTGTCTTTTCCTTGCTGAATAATCCTGGCTCCTTTGTTGAAAATTAGTTGACCATTCATGTGTGAGCTCCACATTGCATTGATCCATTTGTCTATCTTACATCAGTTCCCCATTGTCTTGATTGCTATAAGTTTTCTGTCTGTTTGGTTTGTTTTGTTTTTGAGACGGAGTCTTGCTCTGTCACCTAGGCTAGAGTGCAATGGCGCAATCTTGGTTCACTGCAACCTCTGCCTCCTGGGTCCAAGCGATTCTCCTGCCTCAGCCTCCTGAGTAGTTGGTATTACAGGTATCCACCACCACACCCAGCTAATTTTTGTATGTTTAGTAGAGATGGGTTTTTGCCATCATTAGTCTTGGAGTCAGGTAAGGTAAGTTCTCCAACTTTGTGCTTCTTTTTCAACACTGTTTTTGATATTCTAGGCCATTTACAATTCCATATACATTTTAAAGTCAGTGTGTCAACTTCTACAAAAAAAGACTGCTGAGGTTTTACAGGTATGACACTGAATCTAAAATCATTTTGGAGAGAATTAATATCTTAATGCTGAGACTTGCAGTTCATAAACATACGTGTATGTGTTAATTTATTTAGGTGTTCTGAATTTATCATAGCAACATTTTATAGTTTTCAGTGTATTGATCTTGCATATATGTATCAAATATATATATATATTTTATTGCATTTTAGGTTTTGGGGTACATGTGAAGATCATGTAAGATTGTTGCATAGGTACACACGTGGCAGTGCGATTTGCTGCCTTCTTCCCCATCACCTATATCTGGCATTTCTCCCCATATTATCCCTCCCCAACTCCCCATCCCCTGCTGTCCCTCCCCTAGTTTCCCACTACAAACCCTAGTGTGTGATGCTCCCCTCCCTGTGTCCATGTGTTCTCATTGTTCGACACCCGCCTATGAGTCAGAAAATGCGGTGTTTGGTTTTCTGTTCTTGTGTCAGTTTGCTGAGAATGATAGTTTCCAAGTTCATCCATGTCCCTACAAAGGACATGAACTCATTGTTTTTTATGGCTGCATAGTATTCCATGGAATATATGTGCCACATTTTCCCTGTCCAGTCTATCATCGATGGGCATTTGGGTTAAGTGTTTCATTTTAAAATGTTATTATAGATCATATTATTTATTTGACTTTATTTTCTAATTTTGTATTGCTAGTATATAAAAATATAATTGGTATTAAATATTGACCTTATAAGCTGTGACCTTGCTAAATTCACTTGTTCTAGAAATTTTGTTATGGATTTTTTAGGATTTTTCTACATACATAAATTGTGTTTTATTTTACATGACTTTGTAATGCAATAAAACTAACTGCTTTAAAAAAATGACCCAATTATTGTCTTGAGAACTGAACCATACAATGACTATTTTTGAGAAAAAAGGTTGAGAAAGTCATGGAATATATCCTTCCTAGATGGGGGTATGTTGGTTAGGCAGTTAACCAGTAAGCAGTAGTCGCCAAAGGTCTTAACAGATTTTCATGTTCAGAAGAACATAAAAGAGACTGAGGAATGTTTGTTGATATTCCTGCCTAAAATAGAGGTAGACAGGGTGTGGGTAGGAGAATAAAGGCCAAAGAGAAAATCAAGGTGTAAAGGATTTAAAGGAATTATGGATTGCGCCAGTCCTCTCATCAGGAGAAGGGGACTGACTTCTTGAAGCAAATGTATATAGGCTGTGGCAGAGTCTGCTAAGCTATTCCACTCTTAATGAATCATTTGTGCGGGCAAATATTGTCATCAAGAACTCTTCTGTGCTGATCAGGGCACTGCAGAACTTATGCACATCAGTGTGGCTTTCTTCTCTGCTTCTTCAGGTCATTATTTGGAAAAATAACTTGGAATAAATAGGTTTATCTGGGAACTGAATGACAATCTAAGAAACATGTCTGAGAATAGAATTTGAATTTGGAGATCAGGGTGTTAGATCTACAAAATGAAGAGCTCTTAGCTTGAGGTAAATGTGTCATGGCATTTTAGAAAGACCAAGACCCCCAGATATATTTTCCATCCTTTTCCACCTTGCTGTTTGCACTGGGAGGCTGAGAAGCTAGGAGACATTGCTCTCTTGCTTCCTGTTGGGTTTAGCCAATGGGAGGCACTGGAAAGTAATCAGAGGGTGGGAAGTAAGGTTAGGGTATTTATTCTCCCAGCTCCTTCTCTGCTGGGCTGCAGTTTGGCCATAGCTGTTCCTGACAGCTGGCCCTCTCCTATGACTCTCTCTCTCCAGATTCCAGTAACCACGGACTCTTCTTGCCTCGTAATGTCCAAGAATAGTCAAAGTCTTCTGCTATTTCTAACCATAAGTTGCTTTACCATTCTTTGTAAGTTTCCGGTATCTCTGCTTACACCTTAAGATGGTCCCTTCATTAAATTTTCTTCAGTTGACTCTTTTGAGGATGTCATGTGGGCTCTGATTGTTAGATCAGCCCATCCATTTTAATAGCTTTGGAAATTTGAGTAAGTTATTTAATCTCCTGAGTTTTAATTTTTCACCTATAATGTGGAGGTAAAAATATCCCTTGCAAAGATAAGAGACAATATATGTAAACAGCATATAGTTGCTACCCAGTAAGTGGTATGTGTTGTCATCATTATTAGTAAATATTATCACATAAGGACTGGAAGATCATGGTGCTCTCAGGGACTATTCAGATTAAGTTGTAGAACTGGTTGTTACTCATACAGAAGCATAAGACTGAGGAGGAAAATTCCAGGAAATAAAAGGTGAGAATGTGGCAAAGGGTTCGAATGACTTACTAGTACATGAAAAATAGAATACTTTGGTATTTTAATACAGGAAGGGAGATATAGCTTTAGGAATCTCAGACACTTGATGGGAGGATTTTATGCCTAAATATGGCAGTGGAGGTGTTCACCTTGTTAGAAGGGAGCAGGCTTTCAGAAGAGAAGGAAGAGTAGTGCTACATATCACAGGAAAAATATTTGAATGGAAATTCACTGAGCTGTGAGTTAAATCTTGAGAAAGACAAAATTATAAAAGAAAAGAAGTTATTATTGACTTACATGAGAGTATCCTGAAGATCCTCTGGCCAGATGGAAGAAATGGACTCCTGACTCAGATTTCAGGTCTGGAAAGGAAGCAAGGTATATAGCTGCTTGAATCTCGACAGTCCTCAGCTTGCTTTTATACCATCCCTTGATACCCACTGCTGTTCTGGCTGGCTGGTCCTTCCTTCTTCCATGTTTCGGTTTCTTAGAGGAGCCCACAGTGATTTAGTGGGAAAGCACTTTTAGCTGGTCCTCTACTTTCTTCCCTCCAGGGCACACATGTCTGCCTGAATGAGGAGAGGGGTTGGGGTGACAGTCAGAGTGGGTTCAAATAAAATCTCCCCATGGGTCTTGCAGCCTTTCCCCCCAGAGAACCTTTTCCCCCAGAATCAACTCCCCGTGGTGCTGAGTCTGACTCATGCAAAACTCCTCTTCTTTTGGAGTAAATTATCTCCAAGAGATCCATAAATCCTTTTGCAATTTACTTTTGATTGGGTACCCCTACTTTGCCGGTTACTCTGACATGTGACATACATCTGAGGGTTTTTTTCCCCAGAAGGTGTCTCAACTCTCATATAATTCAAAAGGGTAAAGCTATAAACTAGAAGATGTCAGATTTCACCCAGCTTCTTATAGATCTTCACTTGCCCTACAGTTTTTTTCTATCAGCAGGTAGATAAAGTGATGAGACCCTTTCCTGCAGATAATTATGATCAGAGAGGAGAAAAACTTTGAGAGACAGAGCTTGTGTTAGTCAGAGGAAAAGAAAAAAAAAATCAGAGAAAAGATACAGATAGTTCAAAATTCTAAAGTGGTAGACCTTCTCAGAAGGATTGGGAAGGTCCCAGAGTTTGACATTTTGTTTATGAAATTGCCTATAAGCCTCATATAGAAGAAACAGAGGAATATCTAAATAGACAAAATCCTATGGCTTCACAGGGAGCTCTATGTAAGCTCAGATCTTCAAAGAACATGGCCATACTCACGCTTGTAATCCCAGCAGTTTGGTGGCTGAGGCGGGTGAATCACGACATCAGAAATTCGAGACCAGCCTGGCCAACATGGTGAAACCCCATCTCTACCAAAAATACAAAAAATTAGCCGGGCATGGTGGTGGGTGCCTGGAATTCCAGCTGTTTAGGAGGCTGAGGCAGGAGAATCGCTTGGGCCCTTGAGGTGGAGGTTGCAGTGAGCCGAGATCGCATCACTGCACTCCAGCCAGGTCAATAGTGCAAGACTCCATCTCAAAAAAATAAACATAAAAATAAAAATTCTCCAAATCGCTTAACAGGCAGGGTTGATTCTTTCACTCATGCATTTGTTCCCTTTTCTTTTTCAGTAACCACTAACCGGAATTCGTTCCCCTACTGAAGAGTTTTCAGTTTTCTAATATTTCAAACAATGTTTAATAAATATCTCTGTGCATGTTTCCTTGAGCACATGTGTGGAGGCTTTCCTAGAATGTATGTATACCTACCTGAATGTATGAGTGGTGGTGGCTTCGCATCCTTGCCCACAGTTGGCATTGTAAAATTAAACATTTTTGCTACTCTGAAAAAAAATAAATAAATAAAATAAAAATTAAAAAAAAGAACATGGCCATAAGTTAAATAATGAATATAAAGAGTGATAAATATGTGTGCAAGTGACATTAGAAAAGCAAAATCTCAGGATAAACTGTGACTCGTGGACAATGCTCAAGACATCATCAAAAGACACACATTTTTTGTTTGGAGCAAACTGAAGCATAAAAAATGCAAAAGTAAATGCCTTTGGTAAATGCTTTCAAAGCCATTCAAAAACTCTTGGCCTTCCATTCACTCTGCCAAGGAGAATGACCTTATGAATGAAGAGGGTAGAACAATCAAGAGCATAGAAAAGATCATCGAAGCCCAAACTGGTGGAGAGACTGTGAGTGAGCACAAAGTTTCATGCCTCCTGGGCCAGAAATGTTCTATCCGAGGAACTGCAAGACCTTGCAAATGAGATTCTATACCACTTTTGGTTATCTTGGAAGAGGTGTGAAATTGAACATGTGTCAGAAGACTGGACTCAGTTAAGCATAGTCATGATTTTCTAAAAGGGAAGAAGGTGGGTTGTGTAGAGAGATAGTAAATTTAAATGTTTATGGAGACCAGATAACAACTTAAAAAGAGTCAAGTAAAGCTAGTGGAGGCCCCAAGAGCTTGAAAGGTTAAGCTCCCTCAGAAGAAGGTAGCTGTCACTGAGCTCCAGCTGGTTGTAGCAATATCCAGAATTGCTAGAACTTCAACTTTTTAATGTTAAATTTTTATTATTTTCAAATGTGGATAATTATTTAAATTAAAAAATATATATTGGGCCGGGCGCGGTGGCTCAAGCCTGTAATCCCAGCACTTTGGGAGGCCGAGGTGGGTGGATCACGAGGTCAGCGATCGAGACCATCCTGGCCAACATGGTGAAATCCCATCTCTACTAAAAATTACAAAAAATTAGCTGGGCACGGTGGCGTGTGCTTGTAATCCCAGCTACTCAGGAGGCTGAGGCAGGAGAATTGCCTGAACCCAGGGGGCGGAGGTTGCGGTGAGCCAAGATCGTGCCATTGCACTCCAGCCTGGGTAACAAGAGCGAAACTCCATCTCAAAAAAAAAAAAATATATATATATATATATATATATATATATATATATATTATATATTAATTAAACAGGTCTGTAGAGAGATAGGGCCAACAGGCTACCAGTTTGTGCCTTCTGCCTGTGGATTTGCCATCTTATAGCTAAGAAGCTAAGACAGTCTACTAAAACATCACCTGGTAAGCATTTTAAAGGAACTGGTCCTTAGGAACTGCATGGATTCACTAAGGACCAACATGCCACATACTAGCCTCCTCTCCTTTGATTAGCAGAGGGCTGTAGTAGACGTGGGTAGACTGATTCCAACAAGGTTCCCACAGCGATGGCCATGTTGTCCATGGGGACTAGATAGAGAAGCTCAAATTAATGTCAGTAGTTCTGGGAAGAACTTAGCTGACTGAAAAACTGTGTTCCAGGTTAATGTATTAATGTCAAATAGGGAGGTCTCTATTCTTATCTCTGGCCAATTGAAGTTTTGGAGCCCAGAAATGAACTCAATAATTGGCTTATGGCTTATTGTCTACAGGGTGTAATGAGAGTAATAATCCCTTTCATTTTTCTGTATTTAGATTGATGTAACCGGGATTTGGTACACTGTAGCCCATGAGCCAAAGTTGCTTGCTACAAGCTAGTGTAACTAAAGTTTCATTGGAGTGCAGCCACACCCATTATTTTACACATTGTCTCTGGTTGCTTTCAATAGACAATGGCAGAATTGAGAGTATTGTGACAGAGATTGTATGGCCTGTAAAGTTAAAATATTTACTATTTAGCTCTTTACAGAAAAATTTACTGACTTTCTGATGTAGCTGAACATCATATTAATCATCTTAGAGGCCTTGTTAAACTACTAATTAATATTAGACTTGTCAACATCAGTTGATAAAAGCCTAAAGTCTATATTACATTTGTTTCTGTCAAGACACAGCTTCTTGAATTCCAGATTGAAACAACTTATTTAGGAAATCAAGGAGCAGGGTGTCACACTTATTCTTGAGAACATTTAGCTCGTTGTTTTATAATTTTTTGTCAGGTGAGCTGATAATGCCTTTCAACTTCATATCCAAGGTATTCTGCTTTTGAAGTGAGCAAAACATGGGCCCTCATGTGGGCGTAAAATTCAGAGACTTGGCCCCAGAGGAAGGTCAGCATGGTCAGAAGTAGATGTAACCCAAGGGCAAATTCAACATGGGGCCCCAAGAGGAGAGATAAAAGTCAAGATCAAAAAAGTCATGGCCATAATGATGGCAGAGCCCAAAGCAAGAGGGAGTGAATGAATACAGAAGCAGATTGGGAGTAAGGTCAACATGAGAGCAAGGCAAGAGACTCCTCAGTTTTGCCCCTGGTGGGGACAAAAGTATCTGAAACTCTTCCTGGATATCTCCTACTGGAGTATGGGATGAACTAGCTAGAGATAAAGGGCTAGGCTGGGAGGACAAGACAAAGTATAGTTACTGGGGCTTCACTTAGGACCTCTCCTAGGTAGTATTTGAGCCTAGGATGTCATCAATTCCACTTGAAAAATTGTGATAAAAAGAACATAATATAAAATTTCCCATCATAACCTTTTTCAAGTGTACAGTTCAATAGCTACATTATGTAGCATAAGGTATATTCACATTGTTGGGCAACAGAGTTCCAGAACTTCATCCTCTCACAAAACAGAAACTCTATATGCATTAAACAATTCTTCAAGTCCCCTTAGTTTTACTTAAAAAAAACTTATCAGAGTACCTAAGCAGAAACACCAGCAGATATTTAGAAAAATCTGTTTCAGAAGCAAATAATAAGAAAAAGTAGATGCAATTTGGTATATTTTTCATTGCTTACTAATTAGTATCCTCTTTTCCATTTGCCTTCAAAGAGAAAAAGATTAATTCCTTCTTTCATTTGCCTACTTTAGCATTGAAAGCTTCAGAAGCTGGAACCCAGATTTCTGGCTCTTGGTGGAAGAAACCCAGTTAGTGTCCTTCACAGCTGTGACTGGCATATGGAAGAAACCTGGAAGGAAGACATGTCTCTTCTCTGATAACATGCCCCAAAGACTAATTTCTAAAGAACCAACTCCAATTGTTGCCTTCCTTCCTGCTACTAAAGAAATTCCCTAGGTTTTAAGAATTTCTTCTCCCTAAAGTTCTCATTTTTTATTTCTTTCATACCGCTTGACCAGAAATTATTACCACATGCATTTTACATTTTCTGAAATGATCATTTTCTTTGCCCTGATGAGAAAGGTCTTCCCAGTATCTAAAAATTACCTGTGATTCTTAAGCTTATTTTTCTAAACAATTTTCTCTATATAAAACTCTCCTATAAATTTTAGTGATTGGTTGTGGATATAGATTGGTAAATGAAAGTCGGGAGTAATTAACCCCTACACAGCCCAAATTTTTTTGATGGAAATGTCTTTATGCTTTCTGAAGATACATAATGTAAAAAATATTTCAAAGTTTAGAGCAAAAATGAATGTCCTCCTGCAATTGGACTCTAAGAGATAACACCTTAGTTCTTAAAAAAGAAAACAGTAAACATTTAAACAGAATTCAACTAGGGACTTCGTGTATCAAGTCAACAGAATGTGTCTTTAATGTATCAATCTTATGTTACACAACTTGGCATTAACGCTGAAGTTGTAGGTTAAGGGTCAAGATTCCAGGACTTGCTTGACTGCTATCTCTGCCACTTACCAATGGCACACCCTTGAGCAAGTTACTTTACTTATTTAAGCCTCAGTTTCCTCATCTTCAGTGTAGAGATAGTAATAACCTTCAAGTTAGAGATAATTAACTCATAGACTTGTGGAGTTATATGACATAGAACATCTAAAGCACCTAGCCCAGTGTGTGGGATACAGGATGCTCAATAATAGTAGTATCATAATTATAATTACATTAGTTTAAAAGTGTTTTAAATTGTGGTAAGAAAACATAACATAGAATGTACTATATTAACTAATTTTAGTTGTACATTCAGTGCTATTAAATACATTCACATTGTTGTGCAACTGTTTTGGTCCCGTTGTGCTGCCATAACAAAATACTTTAGACTGAGTAATTTATAAATAATAGAAATTTATTTCTCACAGTTCTGGAGGCTGGGAAGTCCAAGACTGAGGCACCACCAGTCGATGCAGTATCTGGTGAAGGCTTGCTCTCTGCTTCACAGATGGTCCCTCTTGTCATGCCCTCAGGTGATGAAAATGGGAAAGGCTATGTCCTCACATGGTGGAAGAAGCAGAATGGGTGAACAGCTCCCTCACATCATTTTTAAGGTCACTAATCCTATTTACAAGGGCTCTGTCCTCATGACCTAATCAGCTCTGAAACGGTCCAGCTCTTAATATTGTCACATGGATGATTAAGTTTCAACATATGAATTTTGGTGGGACACTTTTGTACCATAGAAGCAACTGTAAACACCATCTATCACTGTATTAATTATTAATGTGGCTTCAATCTACTGTCCTGAAAAAAATAACATGAATTTACCTCTATCCTCTGTGAGGCTTTGTCAGAATAGATTCCTCCTAGTTTCTCAAAATTTCTTGAAATCTGGCCACATCTGTTTGTGGCTAGATTTTGCAAAGCCCTTCATGTGAAGTGTTGAAGGCATCAGACTGATTCCAGTGTTATTAAATGTTCAAAACTGTAGAGGTTAATGCTAAACAGACCTGCACAGCTACTCTAGGGTAAAATTAATTCTCAAATGCCCTCACTGACACTTTTCAGCATCTTCTCCAGCAGACGTTTCTGACTGCTGCCGGCCTAGGCTCTGTTAATGGAGGTTTATAAAGGCCTTCACAATTCCTATGGTAACCCAGGAGAAGGGCTGTTGCCATGGGGACTAGTGAAGCCTATATAAACCTTCCATCTCCATCAGACAGATGAGACGGGATGTAAGAATGAATCCTTCGCTAGTTCATCTCCAGAAATTGCTAATAATTATCTCTGTTTTTGGAAAAAGATTCTTCATTTCTTTCAGGTGAAAATTCATTCACATTTTTAGCTTTAAATAAGAATTATGCAAAATCTTGCTTGATGCTCTTGGTGTTAACTAAAATCATCCAGAGAATGAAATGGCCAGTGATTGAACCATTTTCAAGTTTCTGTAGTGTTTCCAGCCACTGAATAACATTTATTACAAGCATATTAACTTCACATTGTTTTCAAAGAAAACTATGTTTCTTTGAAATGAATGAAACATAAACATATGTCTATTAATGCACTTCTCCATTGTTTTATAATTGGACCTAGGAAAATCTGAGCTCTATGAAGGCAGGGTCTGTTTTATTTACTTTCATATCCCCAGCATCTAGTCCATTGTGTTGCAATATCAGGGGTTCAGTAAATGAATGAATGAACCAATCAATTACTATACAGTCTCATGTTGACAATGGCAGAGATAGTGAGTATTGATGTTCAAGTGTGTAACAAATGAAGGCTACCTCTAAAAACAATATCATCATTAATTCATTTATTAAAGGACAAACTGTTAATGCCCACCACATTTATTCATTCAATGATGGCACAGTTCCTGCTTTGGTTTATTCCAAAAATATTTATTGAATCTAGTCTTTAGGGATAGCACTCTAAACAGGGGAACGTTCCCATCTTTCTGAAGCTCTTGATCTGTGGGCAGAGGCAGACATACATCCCTTCAGAGTAAAGTGGGATTGGTGTGAAAAGAAGCACAACCACCAAAATTTAATCCTGATGGAGCTCAAGGAGAGAGAGACACAGTCTAAGCTAGGCCTTGATGGATGAGTAGGAGTTTCACAGGCAGACAAGGTGATGAGAGGAAGTTGTTTGTTGAGTGAAGAAGATGAGGCATTTCAGGCAGAAGAAAGATCATATGTTAGAGAACATGACCTGCTGAGGGAGCGGCAAGCATTCTCCAGTGGCTGAAGTACAGGTGTTTTGAGGGCTGCAGCAGGAGGCTGATTTGTGCCAGATTATGATGAGCCTAACATGCTCATCCTATTCTTATCCAAATTCTTCTCCTGGGTGAGTGGAGCATCCACAGCTTGAGTCTGCAGTGAGTTTTCAGGAGTTAGGACTGGGTGAGGCACAGTCCCCAGACATGGGTTGTAGAGGAAGAAGGCCACAGAGTGCATGCAGGATATGACAGCATGGCCAGGCTCAGGGCTCTAGCATGAGGAGTCTACCATTCAAAGGGTCAGGCAGTAGAGCAGGCCCCAGAGCTGCCTTTGGGGATAGCCACCAGGAGGGATTGGGAAAGGTGGCCAGGAGGTCCATCTCTTTCAGAGGGTGTCTGTACCCCTGCCTAGGTGTAGGCAGGCTTGGGTTGGAACAACGCCATGGAATATAGACCTTTTTCAGCAGAGGTAAGACATATTCAGATCTGTGTTTTACAGACATCCTTCTAAGGCAGGCAATGCTTAGGATGAGCAGAGCTGGGAAAGCTTGAAGGCAACTGCAGGGAACAGAGAAGAGATGACCATGTGAGAGTTAAGTAGCTCTAGCATTAAGCAGGCTGATGAGTTCCCTCTTTTCCCTTCAAATATCTTCTTAACACTTGTCATTTGCTTGTGAGTTGGCCTGGGTCCTGAGACTACATCTTTCTCAAGTAATGAGTAAAACAGACACTATGAATCTTTTCCTTATCTTAAGCTGACACCCTTGAAGTGAAGAGTTGATGAGGGTGTAAAGGTAGAAGATGGAGTAAGTATGTCTGTGGACTATTTTGCATATTACTTGCACCTGCTCTCCCACAAAGGGTGGAAAGCTTGTTTTTTTAAGCTACATTAATATGTACCAAAATTCACACTGCCTTATCTAAATGTCACACATTTAGGATAGAAATAGGGCTAATGGATGAAAGCTACCAAAAAATATTTTAATCAATATTAATAAGAACTTTCTAAAAATAAGAGTAACAAAAAAGATGGGAGGTACTTCCTGGAGTGGCACTGAGTGGTTCCCAGCATATTGTAGCGTTCTCAATAAATTATTAACTATTGTATGTCCTTTTTTTTGGAGATGGAGTCTCACTCTGTAGCTAGGCTGGAGTGCAATGGTGTGATCTTGGCTCATGGCAACATCTGACTCCTGGGTTCAAGTGATTCTTCTGCCTCAGCCTCCTGAGTAGCTGGGACTACAGGTGGGCACCCAGCTAATTTTTGTATTTTTAGTAGAGACAGCGTTTCACCATGTTGGCCAGGATGGTCTCAATCTCTTGACCTCATGATCCACCTGCCTCAGCCTCCCAATGTGCTGGGATTACAGGCATGAGCCACTGTGCCTGGCAACTATTTTATATCTTACACTTGTTTCATAAACTTTTGGAGTAAGAAAGTACCAAGGTTATGGTGGTCTCACCAAAGTGATTTAGAAAACATTATCTCTTTTTCTATACTCAAAAAGAGAGTGTATACTATTAGCATTATTTCTTTCTTAAATGTTTAAGAGAATTCACCTGTGAAGCCATCAGGACCTAGAGTTTTTTCTATGGGATGGTTTTGGATAGCAGATTCGGCTTATTTAATATAAATAAGAATGTCCACATTCAATTCTCTGTTGGTGTCTGTTTCAGAAAGTTATGCTCTAGATATTTATTTCATCTAAGTTTTATACTTATTTGCATATCATTTTTCATAATCTCTTCTTGTTTTCTAATTTCTGTAGGTTCTGTAGTGATGACTTCTTTTTCATTCCTGATACTCCAAATTTGTCCATCTCTCTTTTTTTTTCCTGAGACTTGCCAGGGGTTTATTAATTTTATCCATTTTTTCAAGGAACCAACATTTGGTTTGACTGATTCTCTTTATTGTAGATTTATTTTCTATTTCATTAATTTTTCCTCTTTATTATATTTATCATTCTTCTACCTTTTTGGACTTTATTTTGCTTTTGTCCCTAAGTTCTTGTAGTAGATACTTAGGTATTTGATTTTTAGCTCATATTATTTTCTAATATAAGCTTTTAAACCTATTTTTCTCTCAGCACATTTAAAAATATATATATATTTTATTGCACTTTAGGTTTTGGGGTACATGTGAAGAACATGCAAGATAGTTGCATAGATACATACATGGCAATGTGATTTGCTGCCTTCCTTCCCATCACCTATATCTGGCATTTCTCCCCATGTTGTCCCTCCCCAACTCCCCACCCCCTGCTCTCCCTCCCCTAGTTTCCCTCACAGACCCCAGTGTGTGATGCTCCCCTCCCTGTGTCCATGTGTTCTCATTGTTCAATACCCACCTATGAGTGAGAACATGTGGTGTTTGATTTTCTGTTCTTGTGTCAGCTTGCTGAGAATGATGGTTTCCAGGTTCATCCATGTTCCTGCAAAGGACACGAACTCATCGTTTTTTATGGCTGCACAGTATTCCATGGTATATATGTGCCACATTTTCCCTGTCCAGTCTATCATCGATGGGCATTTGGGTTGGTTCCAAGTCTTTGCTATTGTAAACAGTGCTGCAATGAACATTTGTGAGCCTGTATTCTTATAATAGAACGATTTATAATCCTTTGGATATATACCCAGTAACGGGATTGCTGGGTCAAATGGATTTTCTATTTCTAGGTCCTTGAGGAATCACCACACTGTCTTCCACAATGGTTGAATTAATTTACACTCCCACCAACAGTGTAAAAGTGTTCCTATTTCTCCACATCCTCTCCAGCATGTGCTGTTTCCAGATTTTTGTGTTTTGTTTTGTTTTGAGATGGAGTTTCACTCTTGTTGCCCAGGCTGGAGTGCAATGGCGTGATCTCGGCTCACCGCAACCTCTGCCTCCTGGGTTCAGGCAATTCTCCTGCCTCAGCCTCCTGAGTAGCTGGGACTACAGACATGTGCCACCATGTAATTTTTGTATTTTTAGCAGAAACAGGGCTTCACCATGTTGACCAGGATGGTCTTGATTTCTTGACCTCGTGATCCACCCACCTCGGCCTCCCAAAGTGCTGGGATTATAGGCGTGAGCTACCACGCCCAGCCTCCAGATTTTTTAATGATCGCCACTCTAACTGGCATGAGATGGTATCTCAATGTAGTTTTGATTAGCATTTCTCTAATGACCAGTGATGATGAGCATTTTTTCATATGTTTGTTGGTCTCATATATGTCTTCTTTTGTAAAGTGTCTGTTCATATCCTTAGCCCACTTTTGAATAGGCTTGCTTGTTTTTTTCTTGTAAATCTGTTTTAGTTCTTTGTAGATTCTGGATATTAGCCCTTTGTCAAATGGGTAAATTGCAAAAATTTTTCCCCATAGTGTTGGTTGCTGATTCACTCTAATGACTGTTTCCTTTGCTGTGCAGAAGCTGCAGAGTTTTATTAGGTCCCATTTGTCTATTTTGGCTTTTGTTGCCAATGTTTTTGGTGTTTTAGTTATGAAGTCCTTGCCTATGCCTATGTCCTGAATGGTTTTGCCTAAGTTTTCTTCTAGGGTTTTTATGGTGTTAGGTCTTATGTTTAAGTCTTTAATCCATCTGGAGTTAATTTTAGTGTAAGGTGTCAGGAAGGAGTCCAGTTTCTGCTTTCTGGACATGGCTAGCCAGTTTTCCCAACACCATTTATTAAACAGGGAATCCTTTCCCCATTGCTTGTTTTTGTCCAGTTTGTCAAAGATCAGATGGTTGTAGATGTGTGGTGTTGCCTCCGAGGCCTCTGTTCTGTTCCATTGGTCTATATCTCTGTTTTGGTACCAATACCATGCTTTTTTGATTACTGTAGCCATGTAGTATAGTTTGAAGTCAGGTAGTATGATGCCTCCAGCTTTGTTCTTTTTACTTCGA